AGAGGCCAATGCACCAGGAAGAAGCATGCGGGGTTCTCTACAATTTACTAGAAACAGATCTCTGGGCACAATGGAAACGAGTACAGAGACAGTTTCACCGATGCCCGAATCTAGAGCAGCAGCTGAAGGCCCGATTCAAGGGTGTTGGGCCAGGGAAAGGTGGCAGCTCTGCAAGGCAACAGACTACAGTTTAAGTGGAGGGGTAGCTACCACTAATTTGCTTCTCTTCAATAATTTACGCAGGTTAAGTTTAGGTAGGTGAAAGGAAATCCTATTTAAGGCATTCTGGGAGGTAGAAGCATATTTAACGGAGTTTAGGATGCAGAAGTTTAAGGTTAAAGTGATAGGTGAGCAAGCCTTAGGCCTTCAAGGGCTAAGGGCGTAATAGGAAGAAACAATTGGGATGGAAGGGCAATAAATTTAGAGGCTGAAGGAAGCGATAGGGGATATTATGGATCTATAGGGAGGAACACAGCTATTACTCGGTCCTTTCATTCCTGTTCTGGTCTTACATTGTCCAGTTTGTGTTTGCTTGTTGCAGTGAACGAGACGCTGGACCCGGATTCCAGCATAAGCCCACCTGGGTAACGGTCCCAGTACATCCCGGGTTGAAAAAGACATATCGGCAGGATAACCTAGGTTTTACGATAGAGGAAAACAGCTTAGCGGGCATATTTTCAGATAAGTGGACTTAGACGACTAGGGGTTATGGAAATAGGGGCTCGGTCTCCACGTTGTCAAGGACAGTAGGGTTTAGGGCTTAAGGAGAGCGGACAGAGAGGTGGAGGTGTCGGAGGTAAGGGGAAAGACGAGCAACAAGCGGTCGGTTTCAGGGCTTAAGAGGAGGATAGGTGGAAAGATAGAAGACAGGTTCCCTCGTTTTTTGCTATTTTGTCATTTTGTTAAAATCCAGTTTAGTTTTTGTTCAGGAATATCATGAAGTTTCTTAAGAGAAAGGGGCACTGGACCCGGTTTCCAGTAGGAGCCAAATCTGGGTAATGGCCCCAGGAGATGTGGACAGATTACCGGCCTCTTTTTGCTCCATATATAATAAAGCATGCTATTTCTTTACAAAAAAAACAAGCGAACCCGCCGGCGAGAAGATGTAGTATTAGATAAGGACGGCCAAAAAAAAACATTTTGTTTTTGTGTTATTGTATTTTCCATAGATCTCTCTTCCCTCCTCCTCYTTTCCGTCGGGTGCCACGTGGCACGCTGCTCCCCTTCCTTCTGCATGGTTTCTCCCTCCTGCCCTTCGGTTGTTGACCTCCCCTATTCCTCCTTCCCCCTTGTCTATCCCGACTCCCATCTCGACCTCTCCTCCTTCCGATCCATCGCCTCCGACATCCCGTATTTGCTCCCTTTCCTTTCTTCCCGCTAGATCCCTCCTCGCTCCTCCATCCTGACTGCCATCTCCTCTCCTCGCACCTTCCTCTCCGTTGTTCCCTCTCCCTCTTCTCTTCTTCTCCTTTCCGTCGGGTGTCACGTGGCACACTGGTGTGCGCTGTAAAAAAAAAAAAAAAAAAAAAAAAAACCAACCCTCCCTCCCCCCCTTCCCGACTCCCATCCCGACCTCCCCCGCCCTCCTCTATCCCGACTCCCATCCCGACCTGTCCTGCCTTCCCTTCGTTGCCCGACCTTTCCCTCCATTGCTTCTCCCTCTTCCCTATCCCAACCGCCATCCCCCCTCCTCTATCCTGGCATGGTCCCAACTTGTCTCCCATCCCGACCTCTCCCCCTCCCCATCCCGACCTCTCCTCCCAACCTTCCCGCCCTTCCCTTCCTCGATCGTGTGTACCTTCCCCTATCCCGAGTTCTTCTTCCATAAATCCCTCTTCCCTCCTCCTCCTTTCCGTCGGGTGCCACGTGGCCTTTTGGTCGCTCCATTTGCCGTATCCCGACTTGCATCCCAACGTCTCCCGCCTTTCCTTCTTTCCTGCCCTCCTCCTCTATCCCGACTCCGATCCCAACGTCTAGATCCCTTCTCCCTCCCCCTCCCTCTTCCCGACTTCCATCCCGACCTCTCTTTCCTTCCTTCGCTTAGCTCTCCCTCTATCGCCTCTCTCTCTTCTGTATCCTGACTCCCATCCCGACCTCTTTGGACTCCCATCCTGACTTCTCCGTCCTTCCCTTCCTTCGGCGACCCCTGCCTCCATCGCCTCCGTCTCTCTCCTATCCCGCTCCCATATCCCAACCCCCATCACGATCTCTCCTCGCTCCCTTTCTTTCCCGGTCCCCTCGCCTATCCCCGCATGGTTTCTCCCTCCTCCTATCCATCGCCTCCGACCTCCCCTATCTCTCCTTCCCTCTTCTCTATCCGGATTCGCATGAGCTTTCCTCGCTCCCCTTTCTTCCCGCTCGATCCCTCTTCCCTCCTCTATCCCGACTGTCATCCCAATGTCTCCCCCCCCATCCCGACCTCTCCCTCCATAGATCCTTCGTCCCTCCTCCTCCTTTTCGTCGTTCCCTCTCCCTTTTGTCTCCTTCTCCTTTCCGTCGGGTGCCACGTGGCACGGTGGTGCGCGCTGCAAAAAAGAAAAAAAACCCTTTCCCGACTCCCATCCTAACCTCTGCTCCTCCCCATCCCGATCTCTCCTCCCAACCTCTCCCCCCTTCCCTTCTTTCACCTACCTCTCTCTCCATCGTCTCTCCCTCTCCCGTATCCCGATTACCATCCCAATTTCTCTTCCCTCCCCTTCTTTCGTGTCTATCTCTCCCCTATCCCGACCTTTCCTGACTCCCATCCCAACCTCTCCCGCGACTCCCATCGCAACGTCTTCCCTCCTCCTCCTTTCCGTCTGGTGCCACGTGGCCTTTTGGTCGTTCCCTCTCCCGTATCCCGACTTGCATCCCGAGCTCTCCCGCCCGTCTTCCCCCCGTTAGATCCCTTCTCCCTCTCCCTCCCTCTTCCCGACTCCCATCTCGACCTCTCCCCCTCCCCATTCCGATCTCTCCTCCCTTTCCTTCCTTCGCTTACCCTCCCCCTCTATCGCCTCTCTCTCTTCCGTATGACCCTTCCCTCCATCGTCTCTGTCTCTCCCCTATCCTGACCCCTCTCGGCATGGTCCCGACCTGTCTCCCAGCCCGACCTCTCCCTCCTCCCCTCCTCCTCTATCCTGACTCCCATCCCAACTTCTCCCCCCTTCCCTCCATCACCTCTACCTCTCCCCTATCCCGACCTCCCCATCCATAGATCCCTCCTCCCTCCTCGTCCTTTCCAACGCCCTTCCCCTTCCCGACTCCCATCCCGACCTCTCCCCCCTTTCTTTCCTTCGCCTACCTCTCCCTCCATCACCTCTCTCTCCCCCGCATCCTGACTCACATCCCGACCTCCCTTCCTTCGCCGACCTTTCCCTTCATCGCCTCTCCCTCTCCCCTATCCCAACCACCATCCCCCCTCCTCTATCCCGGCATGGTCCCAACTTATCTCCGATCCCGATTTCTCCCTCCTTCCTTTCCGTTGCCGACCTCCCCTATCCCATCGCCTCAGACCTCCCCTATCCCTCCATCCCGACCTCTCCCCCCTCCCCTTCCTTCCCGCTAGATCCCTTCTCCCTCCCCCTCCCTCCTCCCGATTCCCATCCCGACCTCTCCCCCCTTTCCTTCCTTTGCTTACTTCTCCGTCCATCCCCGACTCCCATCCCGACCTCTCCCGACTCCCATCCCGACTTTTCCCTCCTTCCCTTCCTTCGGCCACCTCTCCCTCCATCGCCTCTCCCTCTCCCCTGTCCCAACCGCTCCCCGCATGGTCCCAACCTGTCTCCCAGCCCGACCTCTCTCCCTCCTCCCCTTCTGTCGCCGACCTCCCTTATCCCTCCTTCCCCCTTCTCTCCCATCCCGACCTCTCCCCCTTCCCGTCCATCACTTCCGACCTCCCCTATCCCTCCTTCCTCCTTCTCTATCCCGACTCCCCTCCCCTTCCTTTCCGCTAGATCCCTCCTCCCCCCTTCTCCTTTCACCCGCAAAAAAAA